GCCGGCCGGTCGACCGTTACGATATTACCGTGCCTTTACGACGCTACCGCCACACATACAGCAATCGAAATAAGATTATTAATGGTAGTAGGGCGAGTATACTACTTACTTCATTATGATGTGGACACTTTTGTTAGTTAGGTGTGATAATTTTTTATGACCCCCATTCGTCAACGTTGTCTTTGCCCTAAGCATAACTTCTGCTGTAAATCTGTCAACCAAAGGAAAAACAAAAACAAACTACATATGTGTGTATCAACATACATACCTTGCCGATGATGCAATTTGGTATGCGAGAATATAAATAAGCCAAGTATAACATACATATCTATATAGTTTGACTCTAACATTCAAATTATAAATTCCCACACACATATGTATATAACTATACACATGTGTGTATAGCTATGTATGTGATCGCCTGTTACTGGGCATCCGGCGCAGTCGCCGTCGGCACACGCCTAAGTAGTTGCTGTCACTTAAGTCGAGGGAGCGGCTGTTTGCCAATGTGTATGGGTTTGTGTGTGTGAGTGTGTGTGTGTGTGCGTGCAGGCGAGAGAGCGGTCTGTTTCGTGCTCTTTGCAATTTGGCAAACTGTTGAGCGCAACAGCGAAAGAGAGTGGAAGAGGGGGAGCGGTAAGGTTGCCAGAGGCCACATAGACAAACAGGTAGATTCTATACAACTGGCAAACTGACAGCTGGGCTCAGCTTTTGAGCTTTGACTGCGGGGAGAGATGGGACGGGGAAGCGCGATTTTAAAATTCCAAAGCTGCGCGACTGCGAACGAAATGTTAAAGTTTGAGAATGGCTACATATACGCTGTTTGCATTTTACGAGTGGAGTATTTTGGTTTTCGTTTGTCTAATCTTTTCTAATGAATTGAATAATTTTTTTTTTTAATAAAGAAAAAATTGGATTACCAATTTAAAAAAAACGACAGATGCGGGAGTTTGTGAGTGAGCATTATAAATAATTTATTTAAAACCAAGCCACTATTTGTTTTAGGGGCACGATCTTTGCGTTTACAGCAATTTAAATATATTACAAGCAGACTTTTTGAATGCCTTTCACGTGTAGTAGAGTATTGTGTAGTCGCTTACACCTGTTTTAACATTTGTACTTGTGGCGTTTGTACCTTGCGTTGAGCATGGAATGTGGCCTGAGTCAGAGCCGCAACCACTGCGCAATATTTAAAGCCACAAGCCAGCTATTTGACTGGCTGACTGACGGGCTAATGTGGATGCTTATAGTAAATTCCGACATTTTCACTTTCAGCAAGTGAGTCCGGATAAACATTCACATTCACCATTGCCGAGATGGTCAATCATCATTCAAATGGTGGCGGCAGCGCCGGCAATAGCAGTGGAGGCGCCCATGGTGGTGCTGGCGGCGATTACTCCGGCGACGATCGCAGCGGCGGCGAGGAACGAGAGCGATTGGATGGCATGGACTTGCATGATAAGCCCACATATCTGCTCGAGCACCTGGCCACATTCACCGTGAACAAGGAGTCGGGCATTGTGTATCCAGCGGACGGTATGCGTCGCCTGCTGCAGCTGGAGAAGACAACGGGCATTTGGTCGCAGAAGATGCAGCTCTGCTTGGACTATCAATGGGTGCTCATTATGGATTACGAGACGGGGGTAGGTAAATGGAACTGAAGCTAGCGATAAACTTTATTAACGAATGTCCTCTAATGAGCAGAACATAATCGAGAGATTTCCCGCCTCGCTGGTGCAGGAGCCAACAGCCTTCACATCTAACGATGCCATGGAGCTTTACAATAATATACTGGTCTTTATTGTCTCGGGCGGTGGTGGTTCACGTTCCGAAATGCACATATTTCAGGTGAGTAATCCACGGAACCCTTAGAAAGTCATGCAATTGACTTAATTTAATTTTTCCTCCGCCAGTCACAAAGCGTTTCTGCTGTTCATCTAGTGGAGGATTTGAAGCAGTTGCGCAGCGGTAAAATGATCACACAACAGCGTGGCGCCACGCCCACACAGCATACGAGTGGCGCCTCCGGCTCCGGCATGGCCGCCATGATGATGAGCAAAACATCCTCCTCCTCGTCGCACAGTCGCATCGAGCAACATCATCAGCGTGATCAACGGGATCGGGAGCGCGGCAGGGATCGGGAAAGGGAAAGGGAGAGGGAGCGGGATCTGCATGTGCAGCATCATATGCATCAGCGCAGCAGCGTGGATCAGTATGGCATGCGAGGCTCTGGAGCTGGCGCTGTCACTGATGTGGACATTGGCCCCAATGGCGAAACGGACTCGGAACATGGCTGCGTCAATGATCGCGACGAGACAAGCTCCACGTCCAGCGAGAAATACGAACGGGATGTGGCCGTGTTGAATCATTGTTTCGATGACATCGAGAAGTTTATTGCGCGACTGCAGCACGCGGCGGCTGCCTCCAGAGAGCTGGAGCGACGTCGTCGCAATCGCAAGTCAAAGAAACGTGATCCTGGCGAAGGCCTCCTCACGTTGCGCACCCGGCCGCCGCATGAAAAGGAATTTGTGGATATCTTTGCAAAGTTCAAGCTTTCATTCAATTTGCTGGCCAAGTTGAAGGCGCACATCCATGATCCCAATGCGCCGGAGCTGGTGCATTTTCTATTCACACCACTGGCTCTCATCGTGGAGGCATCCAGCGACACCTACTACGAGTCGCAGCTGCCGTCTCGCGTGGTCAATCCCTTGCTCACCCGAGAGGCCATCAATTTGCTAATCAACTGCGTCACCAGCAAGGAGACCGAGCTGTGGCGTTCCCTGGGCGATGCCTGGGTCATACCACGCGACCAGTGGAAGGAAGATGTTGGCTCCTATCATCCAGTCTTCCTCGATGGCTGGTCACCCGATTACTTAGTCATTGACGAACTGGAGGCCACATCGCCCACGCACGTCAGCAAGCGTCGGCTCGACGTACAGCCGGGTCCGGGCAGCCACCTGTCCGGTCTGAATGGACGTGGCGCTACCGGTGGCTACGATGACTACGACACGAATGGCATTGGCATCTCGCTCAGTGAGAAGTACACCATACACCATGGCAACGATCGGGATCGTGAAAGAGAACGAGATCGATCCGGTGCAATAAGTGCCTCCGATTTCAATGCACGCAGCGAGCTCTCCTTTGACTCCATTGAGCGTGGCAGCGGCGGCGGCGGCGGTGGTGGCATTTCCTCCAGTGGTGCTGGTCATGGTCCCACTGCTGGACCCACACTCAGCGCTATTACAGCGGGGCTACAGAATTTACACACACGCGACTCCCGCAACGTGAGCAGCTCAGGCGGCAACTATGGAGCGAGCGGCGTTGGTGGCGGTGTCTCCGAGATATCCGCCGTCACAGCACGTGGCGTGGCCAATGCAAATGCTACCGAGGATCAGCTGCTGGAAGCCTGGCTAGAGGATTTGCAGGCATCGGGCGCTAAAATTGTTCTGGTCACCTACCCACGCACCGCCAACAATGACAAGGAGCTGAGCGTGATGCGCGGTGAATACTTAGAGGTACGGGGATATATTACGAATTGATCTATGGGCCAAACATTTTCGTGCGTCGTACGCATTTTCCTCAAGTGAATGCATTTATAGAACTAATTTAGTTCAAACGATCGTAAATCATCTTAAGAAATTTATAATATCGTTTAAGCAGTATATAGTATTACTCCAAGTGGTAAAACAATCTATAGATCTACTTATACAAAGTTTCTCGCCATTTTTTTATTTTAATATTTATTTGCTCAACTTCAAACTTGTCCAGTTTTGAATAATCCCCATTAGATATTATAGACTGGTGTCAAAAGTGGTAAATCTATAGATCTCTGCATATATCTATATATCTATTTGTACTAAGTATTTTCAACATCTTTTATTTATCACATTCCCCTTTTTTTTACTTACTTGGTGTGTTCTAGATTCTGGATGACACCCGGAAGTGGTGGAAGGCGCGCAATATACGCGGCCAGGTGGCCCATGTGCCGCACACGATTGTCACGCCCTTTAATTATGGCGACGGGGATGGCGGCAATGGTCAGTTCTATGGCCAACAACAGCAGGTGGCAGCGAATAAGTCACGTCACATGTCACCAGGCAATGTGGTAAGACGGATCTCTAAATCCAACTATATCTCAGTTACTTAACAGTTATTTCCCTTTACTGCAGGACAATCCCAGCATGGATCAACGTTCGCCAGATGCCACGGATATGATACGTAGCAAGCACCTGGGAAAGAAGGGCGAATTCCGTTACTTTTAAGAAAACTGCTTTCATAATGTAATCCAATATGAACGAATAGTTGATCCTGACCTACGAACAGAATTTGAAAGGAATTAGCACTACTTAAAAGCCTAGTTTGTAGCTCCGTTTCGATGTGTAAATGTGTGTTTTATTATCAAAATGAAAACTCGAAACTAACCGTAAGACTAACTATAAGTTGTACTTCATCGAAGTTTAGCCAAACACACACACACACTCAGCATCACAGTAGAGTGCCCATACCATATGGTATATATATATTGTTTATAAAGAGAGTGGGACTGGCGGCAAAAGCAATCAATTGTTTAATAAAGCCTGGTCCTTGCAATAACTAAAGGAACCTAAATAAATAAAAAGTTGATTTAATCGTTTATCGATAATTCAAATGTTTCGTATACATAGGTTATTGTTGGCTCACAGCTGGTATACATATATGGCTATATATACTATGGCTATAATATTATTTATTGCTTCTAATGTATTCTAGCTTAATGGCTAGGATAAACTCCATTAGCAAGAAATCAAGTTGTATTTTTTAATATTTAAAACAAAACATTTAATGTAGCTCGTAGAGAGAGCTCTGTTTGATTTTCCGTATCTCTTTATCATTTTTATCATTTGTAGCATAAAGGATTTCTAGTCAACAACTTGTTTATAAAATCTCATTTATAGTTACCACAGAGATCACGTTTCGTATATCTTTGGAAGTTTGAAGAAAATAATAATACTCTCCAGGTCTGCCCTTGAATGAATTAGATTTATTTAATAAACATGCTAGACTACAGGTAGCTAATTAACTGGTGTATTCGAAAAATAATGTCAACGATTGCAACTAGAGAGATTCCAAAATCCGACAATTCCACTTTAGATTATCGACAATTTCTCAACACGCGAGAGCAATGGGGAATCCGAGTGATATTCCAAGCTTCTGACCGAAAAGTCGCCCGATTCGTTGGTGAAACACTTGAGCGTGGAAATGGAAAATGGACGCAATGGAAAATTGTAATAGGTAAAATATTGTCCATTGACGGCAATGAGGAACGAGCGATCGCCAATGCCAAAGGCGATCTTAAAGAGCTTGCCACGCACAAACGGAAATTCGCCTTCAGTTTCCTCGTCGTCAGGGGCATAGCTGTGCCGAGGGATAAGCAGAGAGATTCAGATATTGAATATAGAATTGAATATTTGCACCCACCTGTTGTCCTCGCGTTGATAGGAGCGCGATACGGTCGTCCTATCGAAGTTCACATGAAACTTGAGCACCATGCGACCCGTATCGTTGCACTGGAAGCAAATGGAAAACTCCGTTGTGGGTGGACCCTTGGCAATGCACTCCATGGCCACAACGGTGCCCGTCTCGTAGCGCCTGGGTACATCACTCTGAAAGGCCACACGATCGACGCACATCAGGCTACGAGGAAACACCAGGGGGAACAGCATGCGATGATGGAACTGAGTGATCTTCTCGAAATCCCCATAGGCACGCACATAGTTGATTTGCTTGGGAAATTTGACGAACTCGAACGAACGATACAGTTGGTCATTCACATAGATCTCGAAACAGCGCTGCAGTACGGCTACGCGAAAGGTGAAGCACTGACCCGGCACTAGCGGATTCTTGGGTCCGTCACACTTCCAATTCTTGGAGATCTCCTCCTGCTGCCAGCCCTCGCCTGGCTGGAACATGCTGCGAATGATCTGACCTTCGCGAAAATTGGCCTCGATTTTGAGGAAAACCGTTTCGCTTTCATTCTGAGCATTCACATTGTCCGTCAAATCCAACGAGATTCTGCAAAGATTTCCGTTTACCTCATCGACATTGAAGAGTTAGCAAAATATTTGTTGCCTACTTATTGGGATGCGGCTTGACTTTGCCGCTAAGGATGAGCACATGGCCGAATGGCACCTCCGTCAGCACTTTAGCCTTCCAGATGTTCATTGCGATTCAACTGCTGCAATGCAACTGATTCGTTGATACGTTCCTTCACTCAGCTCGCAGACATTTTGTGCCTTTGTGTAGCTCTGTTTTATGTGATGTTATATGCTAATAGATTTGCCATTCATTGGCTTTCTACATTTATTATGATTATGTAAAGCGAAATGAAGAATTACCTGCAGCCGCATGCAAACTTGACATGGACACATGGTAAGGTTAACCCGTCATCGAAGGACCCTTCCACGACCCTTTACACAGCCCTATAGGCCTCTGGGCCGAAGCGTACCCGCTCTTGACTGCACTGAACTGAACCTTGTGCCTTTATTTATTTGATTCAATCCTTGCCTTTGTAACCCATAACTGTCATCCTGAAGCGCTTTTCACGGTTGTTGGCCTTACGCTACGCCGACGCCGACGCCAGCGCCCCCGCCTCCTAGCCAAATTATTAGCCAGTTACCTGGGCTATTGTTGTTGCGTGTCTTTCAGCGAAATAAAACAAGGCAACAATTGATTCCCTGTCTAAAGTTTTTGCATTTACCAGCTAGCAACACGGCCCTAAGCTCGGGGCCACTCATCGTCATCGTCGTCATCATCATCATCAACATCATCAACAGCCTTCTTGGGGCTCTCTTTTGGACAGGGAATTCATTTTCGTTTCTTTTGACGTTTCTTGGCACCCACGCCTCCTCGACGCAAATGACATCGAAGTAGTTGCTCGATTCGCATCTAGTGGGAGTAGTCGATTATATGTATATACATATATATATATATATATAGAATCGGCACGTCCTCGTCTGTCGTTTGCACCTGATCGTCGTGTAATTGTGTTTCAACAAGGCTCAACGAGGCTGAGCCTCTGCAGGGCTCCGTAGATAGGTCCCAAAATAGTCATTTAATTATGAATCTGTTTGGCAATTAATAAGCAAATCGTAATCATAAATTCAACTATCCACTTGTTTATAGTTCATTGAACCCTCCCCCCGGGGACTGACCTTGTCGACCTCACCTCCAAAAAACGAAGGGCTGGCACTGCCACAGAACTACAGCTAATGAAGTAATCGTGTCGATTTCAACTTTAATTTCCGCTTGTCACTCGGGCTGATAACTCGAGCAAGGTTCTGTGTACGTTGCACACTTATCAGTTTCCATTTCAGTTTAAAAACCCTCACGCCCATATATACTCGTATGTATTACACATATATCGACATACATATATACGACAAGCCACGTCGTCGATGAACATGCATTAGCTTAGGGGCCCCGAGATTCCCTGCCTCGTTATCGTCAATACAACCCAAATAAATCTTACAACCGTACCTCAGGCATGGCGAATGACTTTAAAGCAGCCAACGACACGTCTACAAAAAAAAAAAAATCAGATTTTACACTCGCCCGATGGGACGGGCGCTGTTAGGGGTTAGGGCTATGGCTAGGGGGTGTATATCGTGCAAAGCAATAAAGGTAATAGCTTTATGGCCTATGCTATGGCTGTCCATAAAAGTGCTCACTAAAACAGTAGCCCAACTCGATCGTCAATATATATATATATAGCTATTGCTAGATTATCGATAGAGAGTTATAGCTGCTCTCCCTCTCTCTTTCGCTCCTTCAGATTCTATGCGGGCGGCGCAATCAGTTTAATGTTCAGATTAGGAGCTGACTGGCTTGCATATATCGCGTATCAGTGTCATTATCAATGGAAGAGAGAGAGAGGGAGTGAGCGAGAAAGCCTCAAGTTGTGTGCAACTTGTATGTGATTGATTGTGGAGGTAACGGTTCGCTTATCTCTGACAGCGATTCTTCGCTCAGGTGCCAATAAACGTTACCCAGCCTAGGGCTCGCTGCTCGATCGAATTTTGATTTGGCAGTTGATGACGTTGACAAATAGTCAAAAACGATTTGAACTTAACGGTGCAAATTAGTTAGTTACGTTCTATTCAGCACACATACACACACACATATATAATAGAGACACCTGGCCAGGTGGTCGCAGGTGGCCCACCACGTGGCGTTTTATCGGGCATGAAAATAACTTAAGCCAAACGAACAAACTTTTTGCAATGCTTTTCGAACAGTTTGCATTCCCTTGGCCCAAGTAATTCGCAGCCCCGCAGGAGCACACACTGAACAGGAAAATGCCGCACCGTCTGATCGCACTCAAAGTGTCCATTGATTGGGATTGGATCGTAACTCCTCTAACGATCGCACCTGGGCAGCGCGTGGCACTATACACTTGTCGCGTATCGAAACGTAACTGAAACGTTGGATTTGTCGATGAAATTTAAAACGTCAACGCTGCTTGGCGGGCCACGAAGTTGTCGATCGCTCGAACCGAGCGAATGCTCCCTGGGCTGATATGAATTGCAAGAGCTGGAGCACACAGACAGGCACAAGCGCGCACACACACGCACACATATGCGCACCTGTGCAGATGGAAGGAGGAGGAGGAGTTCTGTGTGTGTGTAGCCAAGACAGAAAGCAAATAAATATGAAATATTGAACGCATAAATGTGGGACAAAAGTGGGTAATTTTTTATATATATTTTTTGTTTGTAGATAGCAATACGACAGAGTGTACAAGTGTGCGGGCGATACCTGTGTGTGTGTGTGTGTATTGACTATTAAGTTAACGATACCCAGCTGGAAATGCAGTCCTCGATCAGTAGTAGCTCACTCTAGTTGCCATGTCAGCCTGATATGCTCACTGACATGTCAGCGAATCTGTCATGCTGCTGAGAACACAGCTCACTTAAAATAAGAAAAAAAATTAAGAATTATGGTATAATATATATTACACCTTTTACCAATTTTGTATGTTTATTTTATTACTTTTTTTATTTATTATTATTTTTTTGTTGAGGAAATGTTAAGCAAAAAAAAAAATTAATATTTTATTTGGGGAAAAATATACAGTAAGCAAAAAACACCATGATTACAATAGTAGAAATAAAAGCCAATTTTTTCAGTAAATGTCTTATAGACAAAACAAAAATAAAATAAATAAATAAATCATAAAATAAACTTAGGCATAATATAGTTTATATACAATGGTAAAATATATTTTATTCATATGTACTATTTATCATATCTCAACTTATATATTTATTATTATGAATCAGCTCAAAATGATTTTATTTTATTGTTCACTTTTCAAATTTCTGTAATCCTAGTATTAAGGTAAACTCTTTAAGGTCGAAGGGATTGTACAACCATTCGTCTATTAACAGCCGGTATGCTCATTGATTAACTTTCACTCGAAAACTAGTTTAAGCAACCCTCGTAGAGATAGCTCTTATGGCCTGGGGGTAAAGCTATATAGCAAATCTTTCATTCCAAGGCGACCCAAGTTAAAATTAAATATATGTAAATTACAAATTTTGCAAAAATAAACTCCGCATAACATAACAGACATATATGTACCTGTATGAGTGTCCCACTTACAATCATAACGAACCTTCAAAGTCTCCTGCATAAAACTAATGACAATGTCACTTAGGTCCAATCATGTTAAGGTGCTCCATGGGTAATTGAAGCATTTTCCATTGGGCGTAGCTGCACTTGTCTGATCTTGACGTCGGAAAATGAAATGGAAATGTCGTTAACGACAAGTTTGAACTGTTTTGTATGTCGCATGTGTGCATTACAATTTGTCTCAATAGATTTCGAGACGGGAGAGCTCGTCTTATCAGCAGCCGCAGCAGGTAGTTGCTTTATATCTACATATATACCTGAGTAACTGTGCGGGTGTGCGAGTGCGCAGGTGTGTGTATCTGTGTGCGTGTGTGCTGCTTCATAACACAAATGACTTCAACTCAAATTGTTGTTTGCTATTTGCTCGACATACATATGACGGCAACAAGCAAGTATTGAAGACACGTTTGCATTGGTATAGAGCAGATACGAGTGTTCTCTTCTTTTCAGTGGCTTTATCAACGAACATGTCATGTTCTCCTCCTCTTCTTCTTTTTATTTTTTATTTTTTGTATATGGAGAAAAACCTCATAATTTTCTTTGATGTTTGCAAGACCCGTAGTGTCATTAATTGATTTATACTAACATCGATTGCCATAGACTGTCTCTTAGCTGTCTGTCCAAATGTCCATCGATCTATCAGTCTGTCAGTCTCCCTGCCTGTCCCTTGACACTGGATATCAATCATGCTCGATCTGTGAGTCGATAGCATTGGGTCATGCAGCAGTTGCAACACCACATATTTGCCAACTAATTTCGATTACAATTTGGTAATGTGTTTGCTCTTCTCTTGAGTTGTTGTTGTTGTCGTTGTTGTTGCTGCTGTTGGCATCTTGTTAGCATCGTGCTTTGAGATACCGACAAACATGCCACACAACTTACATTTAGTAAATTGAGATACAATTTAGTTAGTTGTGATAGGATTGCCAGCTTTTGGTTAGATCTTGTGTGGTGCTTTCCCATTGGATACACCTGTCACTGGCTGCACTGGATGTTTATTCGTTTTGGGTTCTTGTTGACAGTGGGGAAAAAGTATACAGCTCGCATTTTGTCATGTGTGTACATTTGGTTGGTGTCTATTTATTCAGCTTGTGAATTGAATTTTTTTCTGCTAAACTCCAGTTGCTCGAGCGACACGTCTTGCCTTGACTAGTAGAATTGCATGAAATTGTCAATTGCGACGACTTTCGCCAGTTGCTGTGTAGCTTTTGCTGCTGGCCTCCAACACATCATGCATGATCAGGTCGTATAGATTTTCCTCCTCTTTTGCGTCATCATCGCCCACATTTGCTTGACCGGCCAGCTCCTGTTTCTTTGGTTTGCTGTTGCCTGTGTTTTTGTGCTCTTGTTTGTTGAGGCTCGCCAATTCATTTTTATAGTTCTCTAGAGCACGCTGCATCAGCTTTTCGACAGGCGAATACGTAGAACGTGAGCGTAAACGGGCCTTTGCTATTTCTAATGACTGTAAGACGAAACAATATTCAAATATTAATTTACTTAAATCGATTTCATGTATTGAAAATGAAATCACCTTTAGAGTATTCGCATTTCTCTGTAATGCTTCTTCGTAGGATAAGATTTTGTGCGACTGTGTGGCTGTTGCCTTCTCCGCCAATTTCTCGCTTTGACGTTCTAATTTTAGTTCCTCAGCCTGCCTGTAAGTTGCACAATTGTTAAATATTTTTGAAAATCCGTTAAAGCCACTGCGAGCAAAAACAACGACATCTATCGGTAATTAAGTGTACTAGAGGGTCGGTCATATTGAGTACTGTTACTCTGTACTCTGAGTACTGTTAACCGGCAGTTATCGAAATTTTTATTTAACGTAAATATAAATAAAAGCAAATGAAAAAAGTAAATTAACTGTAGTACTCACAGGGTATAAAAAAAGAAAAAGCTAAAATCGTAATTTTTAAATAGCCAAATTGTATGCTTGCTTTAATGACTAAAATATCTATAGAGTAGAGACTCACTGGCCATCCGGCAAATATTCTATGTAAATTTCAAATTGTAATTTCAATTTCACTTACACTTTTTCCAGTTTCTTATCAATCTCAGCCTCCAGTGCTTGATACTTTTCATTTATTTCTTTTATTAAATCCATTATAGTGCAATGCGTCTAATTCGAGTAATTAAAATAATAAAGTGAACCCAAACAAACACAAAAGGTTGCTAGGCAACGTTGTGTGATCAGTGTTGCCCAATTGTCAAAAAATGAAATATTTGCAATGTAACCAAAAGCAACGTTTAAATTTTGTAATACTGGTTAAATCATAAAATATATAATTATCTAACTATTATAGTACAAGCCTTCTACTTAATTAAAATCGTTAGCTCTAGAATTAACACAATGCGTAAGATCAACTTACGTTAAATGTTCACTTTTTACGTTAAATGTTAATCTAAGCAACTGAACAAATCGGGTATTTACATTTACCTTCTATTACTTATTTAAAAGAAATTGATTTATGTGCGGCGCCACTCGTTCGGGCGTCACCAGGTGCAGATGGTGTGTGCCCGGCACTTCCACGTAAACCACATGCTCAGCATGTTGCTTAAGTGTTGCAATTACCTCGGCATAAAATTCGGGCATTTCGAACTTCATGCCCGGCACTCCGCGAATGTTGAGCACTTTGCAACGAATCTGTCGTGCATAGGCCAGCGTCTGCTCTTTTGTGAATAGGCCCAGCAGGCTAACTTTGAGACGCAGATCACGGGAGAAGAGGTAGCCACCGTGATTGGGCTTCATGCCACGCCGCATCAAAACCCGCACAGATTCATCATCCACGGATCCATCGTAGGCATCCAAAACTAGCTTGATCATTTCCTCATAAGAGTAGCAGGGCTGTTTACTCTGCGGCAGCGTCTCATAGTCCAGAAACTTGTCCAACGCCTTGCCGGTGCCCTCGGCCATGCGGGTAACGCCCCTCACCGTTGGTCCAGCAATATCGATATTGATCAGCTTGCACACCTCGTTAGGAAAGCTGGCCGCATACATGAAAGTAAGTGCGCCACCCAAAGAGTGACCCAACAGCGTGACGTCCTTCCAATTGTACTTTCGCACAATGCGCCGGATCAGGCAGATACCATCCCAGAAGATGAAGTACTGCATGCCCTGAGGATAATGCGACGAGTGTCCATGGCCCGGCAAGTCAATGGCCAGCACTGAAACGTCCGCCGGCAGCAGTGGACAGAGTCTATCGAATGAGCCACAGTTATCTTGCCAGCCATGCAGCGCCAGAATCGGTTGCCTATTCCGTGAGCCCCACCATTTGCCTGTAAAATAAGACGTCATTAGAGATTGCATCTACATATATACATATGTATATATTTTAAATTATATAGTAAATTTACATGAGAAAGTCTCGTGAGTCGTTTAAGAAATTCCTTGACTCTGTCTAAGGCGGAAATGTGATATGGTTGCTAATCAGCTGATTATAATGAATACAGTTGAAATTTACACATCTCTGATATTTGAGTAATCTATTAGAGCCATAATATTTGAAGAAATCTATAAGAACATAGTCTATCACTACAGGGTAATATCTCATCGGGTAGACTTGAACACGCGCAGCATGTTGTTGTTCCACGATACTTGTTGTTACACTATTGTTGTTGTTGCTGTGCTTGCTATTCAAATAATCCACAATCGCAGCCATAGGAAGCGTGCGTCTATGAATCGTGTGTGCGCAGATAAGCTGATTTCCAGTGACTCAGCATAGCCATATTGAGCGTTAGAATGAAATGATGAAGCTTTTGCTCAACGACATACCTGTAACAGTGCCCCAGGGCACATCAATGGAGAATTCCTCCCAGCTGTTTTCGCCCAACGTTGGCATTGAACCGTCTGAAAATATCAAATGAAAGTTTCGCATGAGCAAGCATATGTTAATGTAACAACAGGTTTGTCTGCTATATTTTTTGTTGCTGGATTTGCTAGTTAGCTAATCACAGCTGGTTCATAAACGCTGGTGAAATCGCTGGTTGTCTGGCTGTTGGTATCACACTTTGGACCACGGGTCGTAGCAATTGCCCAATTCACTCACTTGTCTTGGCCGTCATTGTGTCGTTCAAAGAGGTTGTTGTTGCGACTCGCGCCTGTGCCATGCTTTCGAAGGGACGTCTCGGAGCGGATAGCGAAACACTCGTAAACAATGAAATTTCGCTACTGCTTCGGCCACAGTCTATGCGGCTATTTTGTGTAAGCAATAACAGCAGTGTTAAGATAACATATTCGCGAAATGTTACTAACATCGTGCAGTTGGACCACTGTTAAATGACTAATTCATCTTTCTTAGATTTTGTTATAATCATAAATAAAACAACATCTTTTAAAACTCGCACAGTAATTTGTTTGTGCTATCAGCTGATAATCTGCATTCCTCTGGCTATAAACCCATATACACTTAAATTTAGCTGGTGAACCATACTGCGTAAATATTTGGAATGTTAACATGACCATTATGAGTAATTATCTGACAAGAAATATGAAACAGCGAACTAGCTAACTTTTTGGTTTTAAATAAATAACAAATATTGAATGAACTTAATAATATAAGCAAGCGATAACAAATAAGTTACGTATCTTAAAATGTTAAATATTATTCTAAAAGTTTTAAGCCATCTTTAGCAGCCTAGCATTATTTAATGTTGTTACAGTAACAGTTACTATCTGCCATCTGCGCAGCACTATTTCAATCAACAACTCGGTTTACAACACTGCTGCGTACAAGCAAAACAAATATAGAAGATTAAGTAAATAAATAGCATTTAATCAGAATGTAAGTAATTAAAAAATATTTATTACTAATTTATTATAATATAATGCATAATTTTGTCACTTGTAGGACGGAGTACTGGAAATCCAATGAACGCAAGTATTGCGATTTCTGTAAATGCTGGTTAAGCGACAACAAAGCTGTGAGTAAATATTTCAATAGAATTTAAAACGTTTATGTGTTACAATGAAATTAACTATTCCAGAGTATTGCATTTCATGAAAGCGGCAAGCGACACAAGCTAAATGTGTCCAAGCGCATCACGGAAATCAGTCGCAATAGCGAAAAGTCGGAGCGGGAGAAGCAGAAAGTGGATGCACAAATTCGAAAAATGGAGGAAGCGGCCATGAAATCCTATGCGCAGGATATCCATGGCTACCATGGTGATATGACTGCACGATCCATCAATACAGTGCTCAGTGCAACTGCCTCCAGCAGTGGCAGCAAACTGGGTCCGTATGGCAAGCCCCGACAAGTCGATCCAATGCGATTGGAGGGCGATTCCGATGAGGATGAAGATGGTCGACGAGTTAATGTGGATAAAGTCGCAGCTGAAACGGTACCAGATGCATCCCTGTGGGTAGAAGGCAAATCGGATGAAGGCCACACGTACTATTGGAATGTGAAGACAAATGAATCTGTCTGGGAGCCACCGAAAGAGGGATTTCTCTCCTATGCAGAATACGAGCGCATCAATCAATTAGCCATGGAGCAACAGGCGGTGACGCAGGCGGAGGAATCGCTACGTTTTCGTGCCAATGCAGATGAGGAGGTGGCGCGTTTCAATCGCGAACGGCATGCGAAACTTTATCGCAAACCAGAGAACCCCAAGGAGAAGACTCAGAAGGAGGAGAAGAGGCAGCAGTTTAAAACTGAAGAGGAGGCGGCTACCAAGGAAATTGGTCAATGGCAGGTGGTGGAAACTAAGTACGTGTATTATTAATACATATGTAAAAACCTTTCTTAATTAAATAACCTTTAACTGTTTTACCTATTTATAACCATTTCCAGACCACCTGAAGAGCCCATTGATTGGCAGCTACCGAAAACGGATTACTATGCGGTAGAGCCTGTTGCTGCAGCCACGGCAGAGCCCGAGCCACCTGTAAAACGCTTCAAGGAGAAAACCATATCAGGTTTGGATGAGGAGACGGCCAGCAGTGCGCCCGCCACATTTAAAAAACGGAAATTTGCAAATAAAGGAAATGTGCGCAAACCATTAGATGATTAAGAACAGTACCTGTAGCTTATAATTAAATAAATTCTTTAAATAATAGCTTTTCGTCCTATATCGTTTCAAAAAATATGCAATTGAAATTGTATTTAAGATTCGTAACATTTTTATTGAGAATGCGAATTTGAATTGCAGCGCTGCCAACTGAACTTTTGGTATTTATAACGCCTGGCCAGCATTATAGTATTTTGTGGATAACCCAGCTACGGTCACGCTGGCATAGTCAGTTCATTTTTCAAGTTTGCGACGTTTGGTTGTGTCGTGTGAATCGTCGGACGGGCGTCTCTTGCAGTTTGTTATTAAAAATTTGTTGTGCGCTTAATTCTGTTAATAACAACACTAATAACAACAACAACGAAGACGAAGGCGCAGCGTGTGTGATTCATTGTATATTGTGGGTAATTGAGCGCAGCTGAGTGCGCTGCAAGAAGAGTGTAAATAAATTCAATTAATGTAAAAAGGAGAAAAAAATGAAAACCAGTGTTTGTTGAGTTTTGTCATTTAAGTGTGTGTGTGAGAAAGAGAAAGAGAGCAAAGAGTGCAGTGCCAAAGTTAAACGTAAACAATAATAAATAAATGAGTAAATATATTTGCTAGCTGCCTGATAAATTTGAACGCACAGAAATACACAGGCACGCACCAATACAGACACACACACACACACACATACACATATACATTCATATTTTGGTAATTGTATGTGCGTCGGCAGCGGTGGCAGCGGCAGTGGCGGCGGCGTTTGTTGTTCTCCTTTGTGATTTGCAGCTGAAGAAAGGTCAAGCGTTGCGTAAAGCGGTTGCACAAACATACGCTCACACACACACACATAGACGCGCGCGTGTGTAACTGTTGTTTGGGACTCGATCGTGTTAGCGGTAAATCAGGCAAAATTCAGTTCGTTTACGTTTACAACAGCAGCGCTCCACACGCGGCCGACATTTATCAGCCCCATACGCGGTATAGCGGGAGCAACGCTAACGATTCGGACACAGAGTGGCTGGAGACGGAAACAGGAAGCAAAGCAAAAGACGACAGCAACAGCGACAGCAGCAGCAGAAGCAACAACAACGAAAGCAACAACAAAAACAGCAGCAGCAGCAACAACAATAGCAATCGCAACATGGCAGTGCGCAAAAAACAGGACGACAAATACCTGCTAGCACTGCGGGAGCTAGTTAACAGCGGGGCAGGCAATCGCCAGTGTTTCGATTGCAACCAAAAGGGGCCCACCTACGTGAACATGACCATCGGCTCGTTTGTCTGCACACGCTGTTCGGGTGTACTGTAAGTAGTAAAAACTACCTGTTCTCCATTTACACCATACACCAAACTACGCACACACACGCACACGTGCACATGCATATGGTTGTTCATGTGCCACTCGTTACTTGCAATTTCTTAATCGTTACTTTTTGGCTATTACCCGTTACATGTGTTGGTTGAGTATGAGTTGTGAGAATGGCATGAATATCAGCTTTTTATTAAGTTAACATTTCAAGTTATAAAGTTTAACAGCTGAAATGTAATAGTATTCGTTACTCGTAATCGCTCTTAAGCAATTATTGCTGATTTACTCCTAAAAGTTGTTACTGTAATTAGTAAAAATTACCTGTTCTCCATTCGGTTAATGTAAAAGTAACGTAAATAACGGTATTCGCCACACGCTGTAATGAATTGTTAGTAAACAATCGATATTCCTTTGAGTTGTTGCTTATCTAATTACCAATCTAATATGCGTTACTATTTCATGTTTTCCTGTTGCTCGTTACTCGTTATAAGTAAATAAGTTAGATCTTGTTTCTGGCACTTAAAGTATCATACACTGTGTCAAGGTATCCATCTATTACGTACCCCTATGCACCTTCCTCAGAAATGCTCACATCACCGCAGATAAGCTACAATCTGTGGTGGTCTCAAGTGATTGACCGATAATTTGGTTCGAATGCATTGACCTACCCGCAACAACAACAAAAACGTCGCTTCGATTAGACCTGCCTGCAACACGGGAGAGTAAGAGGGAGACAACAGTGGGGAAATCGGAAATCGGGGGTAAACGGGGGTGTGTATGTGGCGCTCAGCGAAAGCGAAAGCAATTTCGTTTCACCAGTTTGAGTCAGGCCACCAATTTGGAAATGCAAATCGCAGACAAACTTTCAATTGACGTCGAACTCTGCCGTTAGTGCTGGCAGAGCCACTTGGTCTGAAAACAAATGAAATTATTTTGGCATTGGCGTTTCTAATTTGGACAGGCACGAATAAGAGGAAGATGTCTGGGTGCATACGTGCTTATGTTATTGAAAACAGTTCGGAATCTATGTATATATAATATATATTCTCAAACAGATCTAGTTCATATAATCATTGCAGTAAAATATTAATATATTTATAGGTAATGCCATTCCATGAACTAAGAATTTTTGTGTTATAATAATTAAATGTATAATGAACCAGTTCATTCATCAGCTCTTGGTTGTAAAAACCTTATTCGCTTAAATCACACGGAAATGATAAGAGTAGGGTACATATCAGTTGGTAATCTGTAGCAAATTGGAGTTATTTAGTTTAAAGTAAACTATTTCACTTATCAAATTCAACAGCACGAAGTTCGTCTATTATAAAATCGTATGCGTTCAATATATACGGAAATGGTAGGGAATATGCATTGGTAGGGTACTTAGTAGTCGGCAATCCGTAGCAAATTGCATCTATTTTGTTTTCTCGCTTTATTTTTGTTGTCCTTGGGTCTAAACGCCAAATAATTGGCAAATTGGCTGCGATTTATGCGCTTTGCTGCACTATGCTCGAGCACTTTGTGCGATTAAATGCCAATTGAGGTCATCTCCTGGCACATTAGCTGCCTGACTGGCTGCCACCCTGCCACCCTCCCTGCCTGATTAGTGGTCGGGGAGTTGTTGCCCACTTTTCGTGCGCTGTGTTTGTTTTTCCACTTGATTTACGCACTTCCGCTCTCACGCCCACCGCATGTGTGGCACTCTCCTTCCCACCACTGCACTTTCCAGCTACCCAGCACTCCCTTGCTCTCTCTCTCTCTCTCTCTCTCTCTCTATTCTTCGCTCCAAGTATAGTTTTCATTATTTGATTACTTTCAATCTGCCTGCTTCCGCACCGAGCACCGGGCAAATGGGTCCAGCTGATGCACATTCCATACGCAGATTGCGCCCCAGTTTCTCCACTGCGTAACTAGTTATTTTTGTTGTTGTTGTGGTCATATTTCACCTCAATTGGGTTGCATGCGGGCACTCGCTGCGTTCTGCTCGCTCTCATTTGCCTATCGATCAACGATAACATTTACACGTTTTTTTTTTTTTGC